AAGCTGCTAAGCAGAGAGCGCATCAGAGCAGTTGGGGGTTTGGTGCCTTGCTCAAGGGCACCTCGGCAGTGCTCAGGAAGCGATCTGGCACCTCTCCAGCTACCAGACAAACTTCCAGATTTGGTCCGCATCGGGACTTGAACAGGCGACCCTCTGGTTCCCAACCTAAGCCCCTACAGACTGAGTTACTGCCGCCCCCATTTTGTTGGTCTCTGTATCGTAAATCTTTCAGAGAACATATCAAGCTACTTTTTTTTTATGAACCTTAGACATATTATGTGAGTCAGTGAAAAAAGTTTTAACTTGTGCGGTCAGTAAGTTTATCCAGAATTGAAACTGAAATACCCGAGACAACATGTAATGACAGGCCGAGTGTCACTCTGTACGTTTGTGTCAGAGACAGAAACTAAAGACATTTTCTCTATGATTTTATTTTAGGTCTTTTTTTTTACACAATACTGTTTCTGTTATGTTTTTGGTAAAGTTGTTTTAAATTTTAGTTTCAGTTAATGAAAATGTTTTTTACACTTGAGTTTTTGTTATTTGTTTGATTTCGTTAACAATCCTAACCTTGGAATGAACACAGTCAACTTTTACTGGACTGATTCCTAATTTGTACTTTTCAGCATTTGTTGGGTCTGGATGTTTAACATTGCAATCTTCAAACTGTCTTACAGTTACATGTAGTCTTACACTGACCTGAACCACTGCATGATGTCAACTGTCAGGTCCTTCAAAGAAAAAAGATCATCTCTAAGGTAAGATTTAATCAACCTTTAAATGTTATTGCAATTATTACACACACACACACACACACACACACACACACACACACACACACACACACACCCTGGTCCCCTGAGACATGTTTGGCGTCTCGTTATCATCTGACTGTAAAGACTTTATATCATAAATTAAAGGTTACATATTTAAAATACACTTTAACAAGTGTTTCTAACAGTAATATGTGTCGCTAGTCTGTCTCCAAACCCCCCAATATTAAGAATAAAGGGAGAAGTTCATCCTCTCCGTCTTTAGCCTGCTCCACTTTTCAGAAAATGTGTTCAAACAGGCTGTTTGGAGATTTTCCCTTCATGACATCACAAAGGGCAGTAACCCCTCCCCCATGTGGGTAGGGGAATAGGATAAAGGTACAAGACGATGTATATAATTTTCTACCCATCCAACAATCCATTCAGAGTGATACTGCTTCTTCTTAAATGTAACTTTTGTCATCGTTATAGCCTGCTAGTTAAACTATCACGTTCACATTTGGCGCAGAGGAGCGGAAAACATTGCCTTTGTCTCCACCAATCAGAGACGTCGCTGTGACGCTCATTGATCGTGGGTAGTGTAGTTCTTTTCCCCGATTGGGAATAAACCACGTTTTAATATCATCAGGTTAATATCATTCAAACTTGGGTCTCCTACAGGAGCATGCCATCGTTTCGCACTCATGTAGCTCGTGGTCAGTCTACTTTGGATGGTTATGATGATGTTATGGCTAATAATCAAATCCACAATGGAGAAAATGAATGGGAGTTCTACTTCTGGATCCACACTGTTGAGCCCTATAGGCCACAAGGTTTCATATTATGTGAGAAGCATGGGAAACCTCTTCTGATTGAAGACAATTAACTTTGACTGCACATATTCCTACTTTGCGATTTCTCTGTTCAGCAGTTGCTAATGTTTAATATCTAACGATCTAATCTCTCTCCCTCTCTCTTCCCAACAAATTTAGGCCCAAGAAAAAACATTCTGCTGAACTATACATTTGTTTCAGGTAAGATTTTATCAACATTCAAATGTCACTGGAATTAGGACAAATCTTTCCATGACCACGCATACATTATCATGCACACACACACACACACACACACACACACACACACACACACACACACACACACACACACACACACACACAGCGCTGTTCTTTCAGCTGCTGTAATGCTTCTGTGTTACTACCTCTGAAGATGGTACAGAGGGGGATCACTTCTTCCCCACATTACACCTCTGCAACATTCAGATTGAAGGTGAACCATCACAGGGACGTAAATATTGAAACAGCAGTCCGAATAGGACTTGTGGTACGCAGCTGGTTGAAAGTCAGCGAATTCCCCTTTTGAGAAAACGTCTTGCTGGTCTTGAGTGTTTAAGTCACATGTTTTGCTAACGTCCCCTTTTTCAGGGTGAGCTGAAATGTGAACGCAGCAGATACTTTTCAACATGCAGTCATATGATATGAATTCAGAGAGAGAAAGAGGAAGAGAGAGAGAGGAGCTCAAGGAGCCAGTTCCCAGTTATTGGACGTTTTTGTGCATTTAGCCTATTTAGCCTTGTACATATTAGTCTTTGCTTATTTGTTTATTGTTGATATTTAATATTATACCTTTGTACAAAGAGAGCACAGTTTACCAAAGTAAAATTCCTTGTGTGATTAAGCATATCTGGACAATAAAGCTGATTCTGCTAATAAAGTTTCATCAGTTATGAGTGACTGTTTGAGACAGCGCTTGGATTATTTGTAAGAGGTCACCACCATCTTGCAGCTTTTTTGTCATTTATACATCTTGTAGAAATCGTGTTGTGCATCCTTTTTTCACTATGAACAGATGTTATGAACCGAAAGATTATACAACTCTAAATGGACCTTTTAGTAGTACTGTCTGTAATTGAAGTTCTGTCTATGGGTTTTTATCAGGAAAGGGGCCTGGTCGAGTCTCCCTACATGCCAGAAGTTTGCTGGAGTTGGGATCTAAACATCATTGAGTGACGGCACATTCATCATCATCTATCTTTAATCATGAAACATTTAAAATAATGAATGATTTTTTTTCACAATTACATTTTTTACAGCAGGGAAATGTCTGTAGCCAATCAGATGTCTCCTTCCTTTTCAGCCAATCATGACATACCCACCTTTATTTCAGTAGAGAAACAATAAACAACTTTCCATGTTTTTTTCAAACAATGCTAAACTTGAATCTCTCCTTTTATAAAGGTATATACACGTGTAGGAGCCATCATATGGCCATCAATAGATAATTTGCAGTGGTGTGGTCTGTGAAGCCAAGTAATGTATTTCATTAATTGTATGTTTTTTTTAATTTGCAAACAACATCCGCTCATTAACCTGATTATATTGTATTCTGTATGACCTTGTCTGCTGCTGCAACGTCCGAATTTCTCCTATGGGGATCAATAAAGTACCATCCTATCCTATCCTATATCGTCACTTCTACTGATGACACTTTTCATAAGCACACAAAGCAACAAACATGGACGCTAGAAGACGTAGCACAGAGCTCCTTTGTGCTTCAGCGGCAGAATGAAGAACATCAGGTATGTAGTTTACATTTTTATTCATTTGAGGGGTGTGGTTTAAGAAGAACAGGGGTGAGACTACGCTGCCTTGATGTGCTCCTCGGAAATGTCCCGTTTACGAGTTATGAGCATGTGAATGGCTGTTACTAACCTCAAGTTGAAATCATGAAACCAAGGTGTTCTTTGAGCTACAGGTATTCATGAGCATGTCCATGTCATCAATCATGCTGTGAGAACGAAACAAAATATACAAAGCATAAAATAAGAGAGCATCAAAAACATGTCACAAACACAAATTGACATATTTACACAACTTAGCTTTTTAAACATGGACTACAATGGCAGGCTGTCATTCATGCTATCATGATTGCCACTAGTTTAGCCTGTTAGCCATTAGCTTTACTATTAACATATTAGCCATTAGCTTCAGGTAGGCTATAATATAGAAACAACAACCAGAACACAACAGTTCACCTCATCGGCTGCATCAACCGAAAGGGGGGTAAAGGAAACTTCACTCATGGGTCAGTCTTCTCTTTATTAAACTTTTGAATGATACACAGAACCACTCTCAAACATCCTCCTGTGATCAACCTGCCACGTGCTCTGCCTCTCCTGGCCAGGTGAGGAACACAACTCTTAATGATGTCCCGCCCCCAACCACAGAAATAACAGAAAGCTCCTCTTATAGAGATATTCTTGATTATATTAATGTTTTATAATGAAAATATTGTTTTATTAAAAATGTATATTATTGTTATATTTAACTCAAAATGAAGAACTTAAAGTGTGCAGGCCTAACTGATCCTGATGACAGCTATAAGGGCCATTAAAAGTCTTAATGAGGAGTGGGAAATGTCGATTATATCCAAGTTGTGAAGTTGTGATGTTTTAAGTCCTACATTGTAAAACTGTATCAGCACAATCAAAGCTAGTGAAATAAGTGGAATCATTAACACTGTTACACTAACATCACATTATCCATGCACTACATCTCTTTATTCTATTCTTTCTATTTCAGTATTCATCCAGTTCTGGTTACTTTATTCCTGATGTTTCTTATCCATCATTGCACTACGGTCACTTTATTTATCTCATTTTTACCTTTACAGTTATATTGTATATATTAGTTCTGTTGTTCCATTATTCACCTTATTAACTTATCATTTAGTATTTAGCCTACCTGCACATAGATCTGTATATATATATATATATTTCTTGTTTACTGCACACAGTTCTGGTTACATCTGTTTACATCTGTTAGTCCGATCACTGTCCACTTATATCTACTCTTTTTATATTTTGTATTTTCAAGTTAAGTTTAAGCTTTAAGTTGTATTTAAATTGACACTTTATATTTAGGTTAAAATGTTTTGTCTACTTGCACTCTTGTTAATTTACTGCTCTGTGTGTCTTTGAATTGCCCCGCAGGGACAAATAAAGTTTTTTTTGAATTTGAATTTGAATTAGTGTCTGCTCTGTTAAAAACACAGACTGAGCAGTAGTCACACATTCTCTGGAAGAAGCTTCTGGAGCACCAGAGTCAATAATGTTCCTAAAATCAGAGCTATTTAAGAAAACACTTTGGGAAAAGACAACCTACTGAACATGGTTTATACATGAACTGTGTTCAGATCTGTTCTTCTGCAGCTTCTTCCTCTTTAATGTAGTCTGTGTAATGTGTAAGGGGTTAAAGAAGAACAAGTGTGGTTTGGTTTAAGATTGCTGAATTACTTTCTTTATCAATCTGTGTCGCAGTTTGTTTTTCTCCATCTAAAGGTAACGTTTATTCATGTTTTATGTACCTTAAAGAAAGTAATTTATTTATTTGTGTCCTTCTGTTTGGAAAGTTTGTCAGAAAATGTATAGAGGACGTGTTTTCTTTATTTTATATCTGTGTTTTTACCACCGCTGGATTTAAAGGGATACACCCTGTGAGGCCTGAGAGATACGGATTGTAAACAAACAACATTTTTAGACGAAACTGAGAAATTAATCTGAGTTTGAGTGAACTCATACGGGTAAAGAATTCTTCATAAGCTTTATTTCAGTATTTAGAAGTTGGTTTAATGGTGTTTACTTTTTCATATCTTCAGAAGCTCGGGTACAAAATAAAGAAACACGTCAGCAGCTTTTACGCTATAAAACCTAAGATAACATTTGTTAGTCTACATATTGATAACTTTTATAAAACATTAAAGTTGATTAATATTAAAGGACAATTTGACATCATTATTTAAACCTACACTTTAGTTTGAATAACTTTTTTAGGTTAAACAAAAAGGTTTATTTGGGGTTTTTAAGCCTTCATTTTAAGACAGGACAGTGGATAGAGTCAGAGAGAGAGAGAGAGAGAGAGAGAGAGAGAGAGAGAGAGAGGGGAATGACATGCGGGAGAGGAGCCACAGGTCGGATTCGAACCTTGGCCGCCCGCTTGGAGGTCCACAGTAGTCTACATGTAGCACTCATAACAATCACCAGACTACCAGCGCCCCCAGATGTTTATTTTAGAAGTCTGTTTAAATAAATAACTTTTAATAAATGTAGACTCGGCCTGTTGTACCATCCAGTGTTTCTAAATCCTCAAACTAATCAGATGTAGTTTATTTTATTGTTTGTTTTTTAGACTTTTAAAGGGAAAATAATGACATGTGTTCTTGTTTTACATTTGAAATAAGTCTTGAAACACACGTTTTAGTTTTTAATGTTGTTCTGAACTTGAAATATAAACACAGTCAGATCAGTGTGCTCTGCAAGTTTTAAAGTTGTGATTTAGGTAAAAAATATAATTCAGTACGTCTTAAAGTCCTTCTCTGAGAACACCAACCTCCATTTGTGGAGTGGCTGAAGTGCAACAGTTTCCTTCTATAATGATAAAAGTGTTTATTTGTGTGTGTCCGTTAAGGAGGAAATGGGGAATTCTCTTTTTCAACCCAGAGCCGTGCAGAGACCAGACTCTGAAGAACTCAGTATGCCTGACTCAGTGAGGAACCACAGGTTAAAACACTGGTTTAATGAATAAGTCAACATCACGTTATTTAGATTTTTAACATCTATATGAGTGAACAATTCTGCTGTTAGTGTTTGACCTGAAGAGAAAACAGCATACTTCAAATCAAAGTTCATCTGGTTTAATCCTGTTCTCTGTGCTGAACATATTCACAAAGTCAATAAAAACGACCTCCTTTCTAGATGATTTAAACGACTCGACATAGTCAAGAGAAAAGAGGAGTCTTCTTTTTAAAGAGGAGACATCCATTCAGAGCGAACACAATCTGCTTTATATCATATTCTAAAAGGAAAATCTGATGCATTCTTCATAGTTTCCCTGTAAGGACCAGTTGCTGCATGTGGTTTGATCTCAAACAGTCAAATTTCCACAGTTTGCTTGTTCAGAGAAAAATATATGTAAATGTAAATCCATTGATAGGAAAGTACTTTTTAACTGAACTCTTCTGGTAATATGATTCCCACCCTGAGGTCTTCTTCTCAGCAGCAGAGCCAGAAAAACATTCAAAAGGGTTTTTCACTTTGTGGTGGTACATATTGTTTTTGGAATCAAGCAGTTTCTGGGTTTGATCTAATGACAGAAAGTTGTCAGATTCATCTGGTCCGTCCTTCAGGAGGGATTAGTCAAAGGAGAGAGAGAAGAATGCTACTGCCTCTGGTTTACATGTTGATAGAAAGGCAGACATTGACATTATAGCATCATAAAGCAGACTCTGTTTCTTGTCAAAAAGGTTGAACCCCGGGTCGTCCACTTGGATGGCTTTAACCTCCATACATGAGACGTTACGATCTGCTAGGTCATCAGTCACCTGTTTGTTGAACATTTTATAAAATGACAAAGAAAACTCATAACCTCTTTTACTGATTCCACTGTTTTATATCATATTTAAAAATAATCTGGATTTTCTTTTGATATGAACTTTTTTCTGGTGAAGTTGCATCATAACCGTGTTTATTGTTACAGGCCCGACTCGACCTTCTCCCACCTGAAGATAGATGGCGCTGAAGCAGCAGATGATGATATAGACTCAGGATACTCATCTGTCAGTCTGTGAGTGAAATGTGCTTACATCTTATTCAGACTGACAGTTTTAAAAATATCAATATTTTGATGAGGCTTAACCGTATCAGTTAAAACTGACATCGAGTGCTTTCACACGGACTTGAGTATCACATTTTTTTATTTATTTTTTAAAGATTTCGTTTTAGGACAGATAAGCGGATAGATTTGGAAATCAGGGACAGAGAGTGGGGAGTGACATGCGGGACTCGGATTCAGTGTAATTTTTAAAAATCTACTTATTACACCTTTAAGCAATTTTCTTATTTCAAATCTCAACACGCTGCTACTTTCATCAAACACTGGATGATGATTAACAACACACACATTCTCTCTGAAGTTCTTTGTTTTGATGAAGTTATGGACTTTCTTTAAATGTTTTATTTTTCAGCCTTGTTGTTGCTGTTGGTCCAGAAATGTTCCAAATAGTCAGGTTGATCAGGTTTAAAGTTCATGTAAGAATCAGGAGTTTATCATTCAGAGTGAACTAAATCAAATCTTACTGGATCGATGTCTAATTTAGAAGTTTTAGTTTTTCATCTGTTGTTGTGGTTTGATATCTAACTATCTAATCTTTCTCTCTTTTTCAACATTCTCAGTGATGACAACCAATCGTCATGTCCACCTCGTGAATCCACCTGCAGTACTCAGTCAAATGACAAAAGAATTAATTTCCAAAACAAGTAAGTGTTTTCAACAATGAATCCTGACAGTCATGTTTGTAGACACACACACACTGAGTCTGTTTTGCTGCATGTTTAAAAAACAAATACAATCTCATGTTGAGTTGATCATGTTTGCACTCTGAAAACTTTCATCTGTCTTTATTATTTTCACAACAGGTTTGTTTTTCTAACGTTTTTTGCATCCTTCCAATCCGTGTTCAGGATCAGTTTCTGTGTGTAAATTGGTGGTGTTCCTTTAATGTGTAGTTTCAGTATAGCTAGCAGCGTATCAAACTCTGACATCCTGAAATACACCTGAAGTGATGCTGATCATTCTGCAGCTCTTTTATCAACAGGGGAAACTCTCCTGGCTCTTGTCTTGTTTTCAGGAGTGGGTTGACCCAGAGGTTTTTATTTTTATTTTTTTTAAGGACTGAAAGAATCACAAAGTCATCCTCACGGCTCGATGACTCCATTCTGTCTCACACTGACAATTTTCAGAATGAAGAGAAGAATGAACACATCTGACTCAGAGTGCGAGGTTCCTGTGTAACGTTTTGATCGGATTACAGATCTGAAAAACACATTTTAAAAAAACAGACTCAGTGTGCAAAGACCTTAAAGATGAAACAACCCCCATGGTTGATGTAAAGCAAACGCCATGCTCCTGTTTAAAAGATGTTGAAGTGATGTTGAGTTTTCAAGTGAAATGTTTGACTGAAACATCAACACCTCCTCTCTACTTTGATCCTTTGTGTCATTCATGGAATAAAGAAACAACACAGTGTTTAATGTGTTGCTCAGTGTCTGCTTTGCTCTTCATATTTCATTTGTAATAAAGAAGCACACATAGAGATGGGCCTTGGAAAGGTAAAGTTGGTAGACAGGGAGTTTCTGACAGACCTGTTGAGGCTGTCATGACAAAGTCTGCTCCTACCTTTGCTCAGCCACAAGGTTCATAGAAGAGGCATGACAAGTCACACGTATCTAGGAATTACATTATTTGTCATTACTGCAAAAGGCCCGGCCATTTGAAGTCCAAATGCCTGAGTCTTAAAAAAAAAATGGCGAAGCCAATATTGTGGGGTTGATTGGTGCCCAGATTCAGACCATTCCTGGTGACATTGGCAGTTTTAACCTGCTGTTTAGCCCAATAATGGAAGGATTTGAGGGTTTTGTGTCCAAAGGTGCTGTTTCTTGTACCTCTGAGGGTGAAAAGGTCCCTGTCAACATCTTGAGGGACACAGGTGCAAACCGGTCCTGGTTGCTGCAAGGTGTTCTTGGTCTTACCAGAGCTTCTGTATATGGAAGAAATTGGTGCGATTGAACAGGGTTCAAGTGAGTGGAGTTCTCCTTTAGTCCCTGTTCCAAAGCCAGATTTGACTGTTCGTCCTTGTATTGATTGCCGAAAGGTAAATAATGTAACTAAAACTGATGCATGTCCTATACCGAGACTGGAAGACAAGCATTGACAAGATTGGCAGCGCTCAGTACGTGTCAAAATTTGACTTATTGAAAGGATATTGGCAGGTGCTCTTGACAGATCGGGCAAAGGAAGTATCTGCGTTTGTGACGCCTGAGTGTTTGTATCGTTGTCTGGTTGCGCCAGCAACGTTCCAAAGGTTAATGAACTCAATAACCTCTGGACTGAAAAACACTGTGACATATTTAGACGATGTGGTTTGTTTTAGTTTTTAGTCTTTAGTCTGAACATCAGCTGATGCGCCTCTTAGGTATGTCTGGCTTTTACCGTCGTTTTGTTCCTAACTTTGCTGCTGTGACGACACCACTTACTAACCTGCTAAAAAAGGGGGTCAAGTTTAGTTGGTCAGTAGATTATCAAAAAGCTCTGGAGATGGTTAAAGCCATCCTCGCTAGTGAGCCAGTACTGGTTGCTCCTGACTTTTCAGCCCCATTGAAGCTGGCTGTTGATGCTTGTGATGTAGGAGTGGGGGCGGTGCTGTTGCAGACTGATGGGTCAGGAATAGACAGGCCTGTTGCCTACTTCTCTAAGAAACTGAATCGCCATCAAAAGCGTTATTCCACCATAGAGAAGGAGGCCCTAGCTCTTGTTCTCAACACTTTGAGGTTTATGTCTCTAGTAGTGGTGGGGGATCTGGAGCTTCTGACAGATCATAATCCACTTACTTTTCTTGCAAAGTTCAAAACCTCAAGTCAGAGAGTTTTCCGGTGGAGTCTGATTCTCCAGCCATATAACCTGACAGTCCGGCATTTACCGGGTAAAGAAAATGTGATAGAAAATGTGATAGCCGACACCCTGTCGAAAGTGTTTAGGTGTTGACATTGTTATAATAGTAGTGTACAGACTTGAAGAAGTTGAGTGATGCGACTACTAAGATAGATACATTTTTAGATAGAAATAAATAGTCAATCTCAACTCCAAAGTAGACATCATGCAAATGTCTCAGTTTTAAGAAAAGGAAAAAAAAACATTAATATAAAAATGATAAAAAATAAAAGGTTGGATCATAAAAAAAAAGAAAAGTTTTTGTTATAAGGGGGAAGGAATGTTAGGAATCGGTAAGGTTCTTCTTCTTCATCCTTATCTGTCTGTTTTGTTAATCACTTTGGACTGGTTTTCATGGGGGAGAATAGAGAATGGGTTTAAGCTGTGTTTACTGGTTTGTCCGATAGTCTTGAACGCACCATTCCTGAGGTGCGCTCAGAGCGGTGCTCTGTCGCTTTAAATTACGTAATACGACAGGTAAAGTGGCAGCTGACAGAGGACCCGTATGGACGCCAACTTGGAAGCTGTCAGACCGAACAGATGACCCACTCCCATGAACTTGTTTTAGTAACCAGCCGTATCTTATGTGATCCAACTACAACAAACAAAACTGAACTCAAACACAAAGCTTGGGCTCGTCCGGTGCGATCAGGCCGTCGGTGCCCCGGCAGACCCGCGTATAGCTGTTGTGAGAATCAGTCCTTTCCGTACCTGTCATCTCTTGACTTCTCTGTCACACTTCAGGTTAGGGCTAGTTTTGCTGTATGTATATGTGTAGCCGGTGCTAGCTCGTAACAACAGTGATGGCGCCCAATCATCACGTCCATCTGATCTATCCCTCCACAGTGATCAGTCAAAAGGAAAAAAAGATTAATTAAAAAAAATCTGAAAAAAACAACCCAATCAAGTAAGTGTATTCATCAATGAATCCTGACAGTCATGTTTGTACACACACACACACACTGAGTCTGTTTTGCTGCATGTTGAAAAAACAAATACAATCTCATGTTGAGTCGATCATGTTTGCACTCTGAAAACTTTCATCTGTCTTTATTATTTTCACAACAGGTTTGTTTTTCTAACTTTTTTTGCATCCTTCCAATCCGTGTTCAGGATCAGTTTCTGTGTGTAAATTGGTGGTGTTCCTTTAATGTGTAGTTTCAGTATAGCTAGCAGCGTATCAAACTCTGACATCCTGAAATACACCTGAAGTGATGCTGATCATTCTGCAGCTCTTTTATCAACAGGGGAAACTCTCCTGGCTCTTGTCTTGTTTTCAGGAGTGGGTTGACCCAGAGGTTTTTATTTTTATTTTTTTTAAGGACTGAAAGAATCACAAAGTCATCCTCACGGCTCGATGACTCCATTCTGTCTCACACTGACAATTTTCAGAATGAAGAGAAGAATGAACACATCTGACTCAGAGTGCGAGGTTCCTGTGTAACGTTTTGATCGGATTACAGATCTGAAAAACACATTTTAAAAAAACAGACTCAGTGTGCAAAGACCTTAAAGATGAAACAACCCCCATGGTTGATGTAAAGCAAACGCCATGCTCCTGTTTAAAAGATGTTGAAGTGATGTTGAGTTTTCAAGTGAAATGTTTGACTGAAACATCAACACCTCCTCTCTACTTTGATCCTTTGTGTCATTCATGGAATAAAGAAACAACACAGTGTTTAATGTGTTGCTCAGTGTCTGCTTTGCTCTTCATATTTCATTTGTAATAAAGAAGCACACATAGAGATGGGCCTTGGAAAGGTAAAGTTGGTAGACAGGGAGTTTCTGACAGACCTGTTGAGGCTGTCATGACAAAGTCTGCTCCTACCTTTGCTCAGCCACAAGGTTCATAGAAGAGGCATGACAAGTCACACGTATCTAGGAATTACATTATTTGTCATTACTGCAAAAGGCCCGGCCATTTGAAGTCCAAATGCCTGAGTCTTAAAAAGAAAAATGGCGAAGCCAATATTGTGGGGTTGATTGGTGCCCAGATTCAGACCATTCCTGGTGACATTGGCAGTTTTAACCTGCTGTTTAGCCCAATAATGGAAGGATTTGAGGGTTTTGTGTCCAAAGGTGCTGTTTCTTGTACCTCTGAGGGTGAAAAGGTCCCTGTCAACATCTTGAGGGACACAGGTGCAAACCGGTCCTGGTTGCTGCAAGGTGTTCTTGGTCTTACCAGAGCTTCTGTATATGGAAGAAATTGGTGCGATTGAACAGGGTTCAAGTGAGTGGAGTTCTCCTTTAGTCCCTGTTCCAAAGCCAGATTTGACTGTTCGTCCTTGTATTGATTGCCGAAAGGTAAATAATGTAACTAAAACTGATGCATGTCCTATACCGAGACTGGAAGACAAGCATTGACAAGATTGGCAGCGCTCAGTACGTGTCAAAATTTGACTTATTGAAAGGATATTGGCAGGTGCTCTTGACAGATCGGGCAAAGGAAGTATCTGCGTTTGTGACGCCTGAGTGTTTGTATCGTTGTCTGGTTGCGCCAGCAACGTTCCAAAGGTTAATGAACTCAATAACCTCTGGACTGAAAAACACTGTGACATATTTAGACGATGTGGTTTGTTTTAGTTTTTAGTCTTTAGTCTGAACATCAGCTGATGCGCCTCTTAGGTATGTCTGGCTTTTACCGTCGTTTTGTTCCTAACTTTGCTGCTGTGACGACACCACTTACTAACCTGCTAAAAAAGGGGGTCAAGTTTAGTTGGTCAGTAGATTATCAAAAAGCTCTGGAGATGGTTAAAGCCATCCTCGCTAGTGAGCCAGTACTGGTTGCTCCTGACTTTTCAGCCCCATTGAAGCTGGCTGTTGATGCTTGTGATGTAGGAGTGGGGGCGGTGCTGTTGCAGACTGATGGGTCAGGAATAGACAGGCCTGTTGCCTACTTCTCTAAGAAACTGAATCGCCATCAAAAGCGTTATTCCACCATAGAGAAGGAGGCCCTAGCTCTTGTTCTCAACACTTTGAGGTTTATGTCTCTAGTAGTGGTGGGGATCTGGAGCTTCTGACAGATCATAATCCACTTACTTTTCTTGCAAAGTTCAAAACCTCAAGTCAGAGAGTTTTCCGGTGGAGTCTGATTCTCCAGCCATATAACCTGACAGTCCGGCATTTACCGGGTAAAGAAAATGTGATAGAAAATGTGATAGCCGACACCCTGTCGAAAGTGTTTAGGTGTTGACATTGTTATAATAGTAGTGTACAGACTTGAAGAAGTTGAGTGATGCGACTACTAAGATAGATACATTTTTAGATAGAAATAAATAGTCAATCTCAACTCCAAAGTAGACATCATGCAAATGTCTCAGTTTTAAGAAAAGGAAAAAAAAACATTAATATAAAAATGATAAAAAATAAAAGGTTGGATCATAAAAAAAAAGAAAAGTTTTTGTTATAAGGGGGAAGGAATGTTAGGAATCGGTAAGGTTCTTCTTCTTCATCCTTATCTGTCTGTTTTGTTAATCACTTTGGACTGGTTTTCATGGGGAGAATAGAGAATGGGTTTAAGCTGTGTTTACTGGTTTGTCCGATAGTCTTGAACGCACCATTCCTGAGGTGCGCTCAGAGCGGTGCTCTGTCGCTTTAAATTACGTAATACGACAGGTAAAGTGGCAGCTGACAGAGGACCCGTATGGACGCCAACTTGGAAGCTGTCAGACCGAACAGATGACCCACTCCCATGAACTTGTTTTAGTAACCAGCCGTATCTTATGTGATCCAACTACAACAAACAAAACTGAACTCAAACACAAAGCTTGGGCTCGTCCGGTGCGATCAGGCCGTCGGTGCCCCGGCAGACCCGCGTATAGCTGTTGTGAGAATCAGTCCTTTCCGTACCTGTCATCTCTTGACTTCTCTGTCACACTTCAGGTTAGGGCTAGTTTTGCTGTATGTATATGTGTAGCCGGTGCTAGCTCGTAACAACAGTGATGGCGCCCAATCATCACGTCCATCTGATCTATCCCTCCACAGTGATCAGTCAAAAGGAAAAAAAGATTAATTAAAAAAAATCTGAAAAAAACAACCCAATCAAGTAAGTGTATTCATCAATGAATCCTGACAGTCATGTTTGTACACACACACACACACTGAGTCTGTTTTGCTGCATGTTGAAAAAACAAATACAATCTCATGTTGAGTCGATCATGTTTGCACTCTGAAAACTTTCATCTGTCTTTATTATTTTCACAACAGGTTTGTTTTTCTAACTTTTTTTGCATCCTTCCAATCCGTGTTCAGGATCAGTTTCTGTGTGTAAATTGGTGGTGTTCCTTTAATGTGTAGTTTCAGTATAGCTAGCAGCGTATCAAACTCTGACATCCTGAAATACACCTGAAGTGATGCTGATCATTCTGCAGCTCTTTTATCAACAGGGGAAACTCTCCTGGCTCTTGTCTTGTTTTCAGGAGTGGGTGGACCCAGAGGTTTTTATTTATTTATTTTTTAAGGACTGAAAGAATCACAAAGTCATCCTCACGGCTCGATGACTCCATTCTGTCTCACACTGACAATTTTCAGAATGAAGAGAAGAATGAACACATCTGACTCAGAGTGTGAGGTTCCTGTGTAACGTTTTGATCGGATTACAGATCTGAAAAACACATTTTAAAAAAACAGACTCAGTGTGCAAAGACCTTCAAGATGAAACAACCCCCATGGTTGATGTAAAGCAAACGCCATGCTCCTGTTTAAAAGATGTTGAAGTGATGTTGAGTTTTCAAGTCAAATGTTTGACTGAAACATCAACACCTCCTCTCTACTTTGATCCTTTGTGTCATTCATGGAATAAAGAAACAACACAGTGTTTAATGTGTTGCTCAGTGTCTGCTTTGCTCTTCATATTTCATTTGTCATAAAGAAACATCATCAGTGTGTCTCTTGTTGCAGGTATCGAAGTCTTCTGCTAGAGAGGGAAGATTTTTAGAAGAACGTTTTTTGACAGACCTCTCACCTGATTGGTGAGTAAAATGTATTTACATCATAAAAGGATCTTTATTGTCATGTCTCTATTGTTCATGAATGTTTGTTTCATATTTTAATGATGAAATTTTGTAAATCAACATTTTAAAGCCGGACCGTCTTCTCCTTCAGAGAAAATGACATGTTGCTTTATTAATGAACATTTTGGTCAACGACACAAAGTATAAATAACGTGTTTCTTTTTTTTTTACACTTACTTTGATCATATTAAAAAAATTAGCTGCTTTTGATTTTAATATTTATTTTGATGAATAATGCTTATTACTCCATGCAGGATGGAGGAAGAGGAAGAGGAGGAAGAGGAGACTAAATCAGTGATCTAAAAGTCTGAACTTTGTGTCTGGACTTGGGCTGACTGGTTGTTTGAAAACCATGTTGAGTATAATGATCTGTAGCTCTTTTTGTGACAGCTTGATTTGGATACTTATGGATTAAACAAATGTAAATGATAAGATTTGTTAGTGACATAAGATGATGAAGTCAACTCAGCCTTAAAAACAACTGTTGTTTTCTATTATCTTACTGTCATCTGTGTACTCATTCTTTCATTTTCTCTGCTGGGATTCTTTTGATTGATTGAAGTCTTTATTTCAAATTTGTATTTTCTTTTTCCCCCTTTGTTTAAGGATAAAAAAACAAACAAAACAGATCCACAAAAAGAAAAGTAAATAAGACAACAGAACATTTGAATTTCATGTTCGTAAAGAAGTGGGAAGAAGTGGGAATTTATAGAATCCCACCCCCTCTCCGTTAATCTGTAGTTAACAGTTGAACAGGCTTCCTTATTTAATCTTTATTTACAAATAAATAAATAACGAATCTGCAATACACATTTATATATATAAACCAATAAACATACAAAATATATAAATTAAATACAAACGTGTTTCTGCAAAATATAATTTCATCTATCATCCATTAAAAAAAGATAAGGACAGCACTCCAAATTTGTGTATTTAATTGCCAAACGAACGTTTCGAGCCGACGCTCTTCTTCAGCGTAACAGGCAATTTTCAAACATGCACAGGTGTAATCAATTTATACTTGTCCAAGATGGCACACCTCCATCGCAGTAGAGAGTCTATCATTTTTGTCTATCATTTATCAACCATTGACATATTTGAACATGTATTGATTTCTTTTATCTTCATATTCATGTTCTTCTCCCTTAATTAATGATATACAGTTTGTAGTAATACATTTAAGTTAGTGTTTTTTCTCCATTACCTATTTACCCTTCACCATACCTGTCAACATATTTACATATATACCTTCATTCCATTTAGAAAAACTAACATAAGAAAAAAATTAACAACCGTTATAATCACCATCATAACCACGTAGAAATTTTGTACATTTTTTAAAACTTGTTTGTGCTTCAGCTCCACATTTAAACTGTTGCAAAGTTTTACACCAACAATAGAAATTTGTGATCCAGAAGATGTTTTGCTTTATTTAGGACTGAAATGCTTCTTGACAGTTTGGCTTGTATTTGTTTCATTTGAGCTTTTCAGCTGATTCTGTGATCTATTGTACCCCAACAAATGTGTATACATAAACTCTTTCAATGCTGACACCATCTATTTGTCACTGTATTTTTGTGTTTGCTTTATATTTACCAAATAAAATCATTTTTATGTGATTCAAATTTAATGACAATTTATTTATATCAAAGCACTTTTTTAATTGTTGCCATTTCTGTAGTAATAACCTCTAATAATTGTAGATTCTCACCTGAACAAAGAATATTGTTATCATCTGCAAATAAGACCAGCTTCAGTTTATTAGAGACTTTACATACAGTATGTCATTAATGTATTAAATAAACAGATTAGGACCCAACACTGACCCCTGGGGGATGCCACAAGCAATGTCCAAGCACGATGATTAAAACTCCCCAACTTCACAAATTGTTGCCTACGATACGATCCCCCCTGATGCCACATCGTTCTAGTTTATTGATCAGTATTTCATGATTTATTGTGTCAAATGCTTATTTGTAGTCCAAAAATACCCCAACTGCTTTGTGATTTCCTCTTGATTCTATTAATGTGAATGATGTGGAATGGTTTGTCTGAATCTGTATTGTACGGTGGCTGGGAAGTACAAACCAAAAGACAAATTCACTCTCTGGAAATATATATTTACATTTTAGAAAACAAATTTAAAAGGTGTCAAACACTTTTACGAGCGCTGAGAGGAATTTACAAATGCCAGAATCTTGACGGAAAGGGAATGTACCAAATGCCAGAAGCGGTCACTTAACCTGTTTTCACATATGCAGACTATTCCTGTATCACAATGTCAACTAAAGAGTGAGAACAACATACTGACGAACAGAAAACTTAATGCAGTCGTTTAATTACCTGCATGGAGATCGTACGGTGTATACACTTTATGCACCGTGCAGCAGTCACAGTATACACGTCACTCCCCCTCCCATTGGCTCGAGGTGAATTCTCCAGAGAATATCCTGCTGCGTTCTCACATCAGCTGACTTGGATTTGCTGTGGAAAAAAATACTATGGTGTGTGGCAGGAGAAACTCCGGGTGAAGTCTGAATGAAAAATTTGGCTGTTTGCGTTCACACATGCAGCTCCTCCTGGAAATATCCAGATTTTTTTTTAGAATTTTTCTGAAAGTGTGTAAGCCTTTTCCTGTCTCTCTTCAGCTGTCCTATCAAATAAAGGTAAATATGGCCCAATAGACTGCGTTAAACTTTGTTTTGTCCTTTGTGAAAGTGTTTTCCTTTTGTAATCCACCGAGCATCCACCCGTTTTTTTTTTGTTTTTTTTTGTTTAGGTTTATTCAAGAAGAGTAATGCGCATATACAGTCAGGTAAACAAAAACAATATCACAATGTAAATCAAGTAAAAGGCAGATTAAATAACTAAATAACATACAGTACATGAAGAACAAATGAAAGACAGTAATATACAGAATATAAAATAAACCAATAAAGACGCATTTAAATAGTGAAATCATTAGTGAAATAGTGAGAACAGGTGTGGTTAAGGTCGCTGAATTACTTTTTTTTTAAACCTGTGTAGCAGTTTGTTTTTCTCCATCTAAAGGTAGGCCTATCGTTTGTGCATGTTTTATACACCTTAAAGAAAGTAATTGCAGCACTGATTTATTTAATTGTGTCCTTCTTTTTAGAAAGTGTGTCAGTATAGAGCGGGGTCCCTAATAGGTGGACCGTGTCCGACCCGGAAGCTGTCCTATCCGGACCCAGACCTGTAACCGTGAAATTAGTGAAAATTATTAAATTTTGCGAAGCGTTTCTATTTTAACCGGCGCAGCTTTTATCGTCTTTACGGTACTGGCTGAAACTCACAAACCAATTGCATGCGTTGTAGTCATCTGACGTAATGATACTCAGCCAATCAAATCTGTGCATTCGAGTCAGGGAGAATAAACAGTAAGCTGCCGCTAGTCCGCTACACAGAGGAGGAGAGGAAAACAAAGGCGAGAGACAGACAGTCGGAGAAGAGAGTCAGAGAGAGGAAATACATGGCGTGCTCTCAAAAGAGAAAGGTAGACAGTGAAAACAGAGCTTTTAATCAAGAATGGACAGACTGTTACATGTTCATTCTTGCCGCTGGCAGTTCAAAGCCAGTATGTCTCATATTTTCCGTGATGAGACCGTGGCGATTATTAAAAGCGGGAATGTGAAACGCCACTACGAGACAACACAGCTCTTTTGCGCTAACATACCCACTTAAATCCAAACTGAGGGCACAGAAAATAAGCGATCTAAGAACCCAATATGATCGATCCACCCGGATACTATCCCATTCATTCACTGCTCAACAACGTGCTAATGAATGTTCCCTGAGAGAGGCTTGGATTTTGGGTCAACATAAAAAACCCTTTACTGACGGAGGGGTTGTTAAGGAGTGCATGTGTGCGGTAGCTGAAACCTTGTTAGAGGGTAAACAAAAAGAAGAGCTTTGTGAAAAAATCAAGCAAATACCTATGTCAGCATTATCAGCCACAAAAAAAAGTGAATTGTTGACCCAGGATGTGCTAGCCCAGCTGGATGAAGCCATTCATAAGGCAACATGCTTAGGCTTATCTGTAGATGAGTCCACAGATGTGTCTGAGAATGCGCAGCTGTTAGTTTATTTGTCAGATTCTTCAACAAGGAGAAGAAAGAGTTCTGTGAAGACCTGTTAGGTGTTACGCCCCTTCAGACCAGTAGAAGAGGAGAGGACATCTACCTGGCCATAAAGGAGATGTTTACACAGAGGGGAATAGAGACAAAACAAGTGGTTTCTATAACCACAGATGGAGCCCCTGCCATGGTAGGGAGAGAGAAAGGAGCTGTGGCAAGAATGAAAGTGGACAATCCTGAGCTAATCTCTTTACCATTGTATCATTCATCAATCAGTTCTGTGCTCCACCCTGTCAGATGAGTATGCTGAGGTTATGAACACAATGATGAGAATGATTAACTTTCTCAGGGCATCCTCTTCCCATCAGCATCGCATGCTCAGGGAATTCCTCAGAGAAGTTGATGCAAATGCTGATGACCTTCTGCTGCACAACAATGTTAGATGGCTCAGCAAAGGCAGGCTGTTGAAGTGCTTTTGGTCCATCCGAAAGGAAATCGCAGCCTTTTTAGCACAGTTGAAGAGCCAGAAGGCAACACAATTTTCTCTCTTTTTAGAAGATGAGAAGAAGATGGATATGGTAGCATTTTTGGTTGACATCACTTCACACCTGAATGAACTGAATTTAAAGCTAGAGGGTAAGGAAAATACAGTTTGTGACCTGATGACAGCTGTCCGCTCCTTCCAGAGGAAACTTGAGGTGTTCAAGGAAGACCTGCAGGAAGACTGTGCACACTTCCCATCAGTGCAGGAACAGGTTCAGGGTGAGAGAGATAGATCTTCTTTTGTTGACTTTGTGGACAAGCTGATTGTAAACTTCAGCAAACGGTTTGACAGTTTCAGCCTTGGACAGCAGCTCACCCTGTTCATTCAGAACCCATTCCTCATCACAGATGTCAGGGGTTCTCAAAGGAAGTCACACAGCACTTCAAGTGGGCAAATGCTGGGCCTCTCCAGATGGAACTGGTCGATCTCCAAGGAGATGTGGCTCTGAAAAAGAACTTTGGAGAGACTGACCCTGACACTTTCTGGCTCCAAATGGTCTCAGAGACAGCTTTCCTAGGTCTGAGGAAAGTAGCCCTGTACATCTTGACCACTTCACCAATGAGCACCTACACGTGTGTATGAGAATGGCCCTGACACCATTCAAGCCCAGATTTAAAATCCTGGCAGGCCAAGCTCGAGCTCACTTCTCTCACTGAACAAGAGAAAGTAGGGGAGTGGGATATAAGAGGAAAAGAAAGAATAAATTAGGTGTTAAAGCTGTTCACTTGTGAAGATGTTTCGAGATTGTTTATCATTTGTTATTAGTATTTTAGATTGTTTGTTAAGATGTGAAACAGAGTTAAAAAAGGACGAAAAGAAAAGGGAAACTCAAGCTGCCCTTTTTACTTCATTTTTCAAAAATGAAGCACTTTATTTTGATATGCACATTTTTCAAAAGCTCTATTTTATTTTTTACATGCAGCCCTTATTTTACTTGAAATGAGAGAGAGCAT